CCTGCAAACCACAGCCTGCTGGCCAAATCTGGTTTTGCACAGCCCATGAGAGAAGTTCTTACATTTTTAAATAGTGAGGAAAACAGCATGACATTCACGAGTCAGTGTCTGTGACGTGTATGGACTGGCTGGCTGTTCCACCAAGCAGTCCAGCAGCCATGGAGGGACCACATGGCTGCCAAGTATCTACTGTCTGCCTCTCTGCAGAAAGTGTTCAGACCCCTGGTGTGAACTGTGAGTGCCCACCCTCGGGCCCGGGTGACAGTTCCTGACCAGTTTTGTTTGAATCACGTTGAAGTGACACCCCGACATCTTAGGGACAGTCTTATCTTCATGTTGTGGGAAAACTCACTAAGACCATGAACAAACTAATGCACCAAGCACCAAACTCCAAATGCACGAGCAAATGCAGCAGGACCAAAGGACCAAAAAGGGTGCTCCAGGGCGAGGGAGACCCTCAGCACCCGCCCTGTGGGACACACCAGAGGCAGCAAGCGGCATGTGATGCCATGCCCCGGGGCCTGACACAGGCACATGGGACAGTCTCCAGGACATACAATACGTGAGCCCATAAAAGACTGAAATAATAAAAAGTACTCTGGTCACAGTGGGATGAACCTAGGCATCCACAGCAGAAAGAAAAGTGAGAAGTTCACAAATGTGTAGAAATTAAACGACATGCTCGTAAACAGACAACCAGAGAAGAAGCCACAGTGGAGATTGGAAAATACATGAGAACTAACACACAACATGCGAACATTTAAGTATGCAGTGAAAGCAGTGGCAGGAGGGGAATTTATGGCTGGAAACATGCCTAAAAAGGTGCTTTCAAATCAGCAACCTACATTTACACCCTAAAGAAGCAGGAAGAAACCCAAAGCCAACAGAACGCAGGAAACGATGAAGATGAAGGCTGAGTGCCATGCAGAGTGAGTAGACAAGTAGCAGAACAGAGGCATCGGGGCAGTCTGCAGACCTGGGAGGAGAAGCACGGTACAAGGCACTCAGAGCGCCTGGGCCACCCGGCGCTTCCACCGCCCACTCACGTGACTCAACCATGAGCACACAAGAGCCCCAGTGGCCCACAGCCCTGGGTGGGCAGTCACACAGCAGCTGACCAGCAAGACACGCCCAGGCCCGGTGGCTGCACTGGAGAATCTGCCCGTCCTTCTCAGATGTCCAAACACGCACAGAGAACACCTCCAAATGCATGCTGAGGCTAGCACTGTTCTGATACTCATACCAGACAAAGACACTCCAAGAAAATGGACAGTACCCGTGGTAAACATTTTTATATCAATATTTGATGAAATACAAGCCAACAGAATTCCACAGCACATGGAAAGGATGGCATATCACCGCCAGGTGAGCTTTGCCCTGGGGCGCATGGACAGGTGAGCTGTGCACCCCTCCCTCCACCCCGCAACATCTGCTCCACATGAGCAGAAAAGCATCAGCGGCCATCTCGGTAAAAGCATCAGCGGCCATCTCGGTAGAGTCCCCACACCCTTTCATGTGAGAACTCCCAGATGAGGAGCAGAAGAAAATGAGCACAGCCGATAGGGTCACAGGCAAAGCCACAGCACACATCACATTCAATGGGAGGAGTGAGGCAAGGTGCCACTCTCACCGGCTCCACTCCACACAGCACTGAAGCTCCAGCAAGAGAAACGAGGGGCAGCAAAAGGAAGACGCTTCTGTCTACAGAGAACATGACCTCTGTAGACATCTAGGTGGAGAACCTCAAAGACTCCATACACATAAAAAATGGATAAATGAATTCAGTAAAGTTAAAGGATTAAAAAAATCAACATGCAAAAATTCAATAAGAAATCCAAAAGGAAATTAAGAAAATTCCATTTATAATAGTAACAAAAAGAATGAAATACTTGGTAATAAACTTAAACCAAGGAGGTGAAAGATTTGTCAAACTACAAAAATATAGGCTAGGTTTGTGGCTCAGTGGTAGAGCGCTTGTCTGGCAGATGTGAGGCACTGGGTTCGATTCTCAGCACCACATATAAACAAACTAGTAAAGTAAGGTCTATCAACAATTAAAAACTACAAAACACTGATGAGAGGAATTAAATAAGACACACACACACGCACAAAATGGAAATACGTCCTGTTCATGGATTGCGAGAACACGGTTAAGAAGTCCATACTATCCACATGATCTTCAGGTTTAAAGCCATCCTGACCACAGGCCATGGTATGTTTTGCAAAAATAGAAAAACCCATAGTGAGGTTCACATGGAACTTCACTTTAAAGAAGGCCTGAGGGTGCAGCCCAGAGGTGCAGCCCTGCTGGGATCGATGGCCACTGCTGCACAAAGAATCGCCATGTGTCCTGGCTTGGATGTGAGGTGTCCCCCAAAGCTCCTGTTGGTGCAGGGATATGAGGGGTGGAATGGTTGATGGTGATGATGGTGAGGGCTGCGACCCCCTCAGTCCATCCTCGCTTGAATGTGGTGGGCGTGGCTAGGAGATGTGATGTGGTGGGCGTGGCCAGGAGATATGATGTGGTGGGCGTGGCTAGGAGATGTGATGTGGTGGGCGTGGCCAGGAGATGTGATGTGGTGGGCATGGCCAGGAGATGTGATGTGGTGGGCGTGGCTAGGAGATGTGTCCCTGCCTGTGTCTTCCTTGGAGCCTTCTCCCTGCTCCGTCTCCCGGCTTCCAGGCTGCCGGGAGCCGAGTAGCCCTTCCTCACCTAGGGCCCAGAGCAAGGGAGTTGTCACTGATGGACTGACCCTCTGAAACTGCGAGCCCCAAAGAATCCCTCCTCCTCTAAGCTGTTCTTGTCAGGTATTTTGGTCTCAGTGACTAAAATAGCAGGTGAGGTGGCCACCTCACTTAGAGTATGTGCCCACAAGAAGCCAAAGCAGAGTCTTGAAGAGAGACCTATACGCCATGTTCTCAGAAGCCAAGAGATGGAAGCAGCCCACGTGTCCACTTTGAATGAAAGAATGGACAGGACATGGGACGGCCACACAGTGGAATTAAACTCGACCTTAAAAATGAAAGGAAGCTGGGTGTGGTGGTGCACACCTGTAATCTCAGTAGCTCAGGAGGCTGAGGCAGGAGGATGGCGAGTTCAAAGCCAGCCTCAGCAATTTAGTGAGACTCGCTTGTTTCTAAATAAAACGGAAAATAGAGAGAGCTGGGGATGTGGCTTAGTGGTTGAGCACCCCTGAGTTCAATCCCTGGCGGTACCAAAAAAGGGGGGGGGGAGGCCTGATTCGCCAAAGCATGGATGGGCCTGGAGAACACAAGCTGGTCCCACGGTCCCACACACAGGGGGTACTAGAGTCATCACATTCACAGTAGAGGCCTGTCAGGGGCTGGCAGAGTGAGCAGGGAGTTACTGTTTAACGGGGATAGTCTTCACTAAGAAGATGAAGGCCTGGTTAAGTTCCATGAATCTTTTACTGCACTCTACAGTTGGTGACTGACATCAGAGTCGCCTACAGAGTGAACCCTGAGGAGCGGCTTGCCACCACCTGCAAGCTTCCCGATGCCTGTGACCTGGGGGTTCTACGCATATGCCAGGGCGGCCTCTCCTGACCCAGGATGAGCTGAAGAGTGGATCCCTACAGGATGGTACACTTTTCTCTGAGAGAAACTGCTCAATTCATGCAAGTTAAATGCAGATGTATGTGGTTCCTCAGCACAGCTGAACAGCACTGTAACGATTAACCTTTCAAGAAAAAACAATACGAACAAGACAACACCCAAGAGAGAACACACAGCGAACACAGTGCCAACCTCAGCCCAGCATGTCTCCGCTGCTCACCTTGGTCCTGCTGTGGATTGCCCCATGCAGAGCCCCACGCAGGGTCAGAGGCTACCCACTGCTGACCTTCACAGCAGCCAGGGCTTCGAATGACACAGGAGGAGGCTTCTGGTCACAGCAGACAGGGTGTTTATGATTTCATGAAAAGCTCTCCTCTGGGTCTACACACAGGGGCTGAGGGTCTGCATCCATCTGGAGGGAACCTGTCATCTGACGTCAGGAAACTGTTCTTGAGCTTTTATGTCAGCTCAGCACAGAATGAAGGACCGAAGATCCAAAATATGTTATGCCTATTCACAAATTTTAACATGCTTCGTCTTTTGTTTATTTTATTTATTTACTTTTGGTTGTTTTTGAGGTGCTGGGGATCGAATACAGGGCCTCATGCATGCTAGGCAAGTGCTGTACCACTGAGCTATTTCCCTAATATTTTGAGGTGGGCTCTTGCTGAGTTGCCCAGGCTGGCCTTGAACTTACGATCCTCCTACTCAGGCTCCTGAGTAGCTGGGATTGCAGGTGTGTGCAACTGTGCCCAGGGGAAAGGACATTTTAAAGAAATGATTTGCCAAGGTCTCTCACCCCATACAGAGATGAGTGAACAGTGGTGCAGTTCCACACAGCAGCTGCTGAGGGTCACTTACTTGTATTTGCATTATGGAATCAGGGGTGACATTTATTTGTTTTTTTTACATACCTTCATTTTCAAAATTTCCTGAAATGGACATACTTTATTTTAAAATAAAACTCTTTAGACTGATATGAATGACATCAATTGACATCGTCTTCAGTAGGATGCACACTGGCAAAGCCACCTCAGCACACACGAGGGCCACTCTGCTGCCTGTGGCAGCCGTCTTCACATTGTGCTGGCTGCCCTTCTTGGCAGAGGCCTTCTCCTGGGCTTGGGTCCCCCAGCAAGGCTAGGGACAGTCTGCACAATCACCGCCCGGCTGATGGAACATGCTCAGTGCTTCCCTGGGTCCCTCTGATATTGGAGGCCTTACCTGACATTGCCAGTGCTTTTGTGAAAGTAACTGTGTGTGATATTTATTTTTCTTATAATGTATTTACAAGGATCAGTGTTCTCCCCTCTTCCCCTGTGGGGTGGAAGATGTCCATGGAGAACTGTCACCTGACACCCCAGAAGCATATTCTTGGTCATTCGTATCTATTTAGCACAGAATGTAGAGTTTAAAACCAAAAATCTTTTTTGATCTGATTTATAAATATACAAAATTGCAAATTTTAAGATGCTTAGAAGAAAAGAAGTTTAAAAGGAAGAACAGAAATGATTTTCTTGGGTCTCCTGACTCCTTCAAAGACAGAAATGTACCACAATCATTCCTGCCGCACAGCCCAGAGTGGCAGTTTTTCATGTTCTTTCCAGTTCTTTCCAGAAGTGTGGGCCTCCAGATACTGCCAGTAGCAGAACCATCATGGCTTTTGGTCACGAGAACACTTTCCACCAACTAAGCACAGAATGCGCGGTGTTCACATCTGACGGCCACAGCAGGGTGAGGGCTGCCTTTAGAATTTGAAGAGATCGATGAAGTGCTGTGGGGACACGGGCGTGAAGCAGCTGTCGGGGTCAGCCGCAGTGCAGGGGTGACCTGAGTCCTGTGGGGAGGGGAGCTGGGTTAGGAACTTGCCACTACCACTGCCAGTCACAGCTGCAGAGAAGACACCAGCACTTGGCAAAGGGGACCCCGACCTCACCCAATGGTGCCATGGTACCTCCTTGGTGGATTCCTGAGGCCTGCAGTGGAGCAGGACACCAGTGCTGTCCTGAGTGTGAGGAGCTGCCAGTGCAGGGGCTGCTGGTCTCCCTGCCCACTCCCTCCCACCTCCTCCTGGCCCAAGCAGACCTTGCTGTTGGGATCCCTCTACTGGGCACAGGCCAGGGGAGTGGCTGGCCTCTGCCCACCTGGAGCCCTTGTTCAGGAAGGATGGGGAGAACCCAGGGTGTGCTGCCCGGTGCTGCCCACGGCCAAGGAGACAGAACTGTAGTTCAGAAGTGAGAGAAGAAAAGCAAGCCTCGGAAGAAGCAGACGCCCTCTTGGCCAGGCCGCGTGGGGCAGCACTGGGCTCTCCGGCCCCGGAACTGAGTGTGTTTTTATGGATGGTCTCCAGTTTTCCTGAGAGCCGGAACCTGAGCCAGGCTGCTGCCAGGCAGGGCTAGGAGCAGGCACGAGCAGCACAGTGCAGACAGGCAGTACCTTCAGGAGCCAAGCGAGGTGGTAGTCCTTAGCACGCAGAAAAGCCCGCGGGAGGCAGCAGAGGGGAGAAGGAAAGATGGGTTAGGAAGAGCTGCGCATGGTCATTCAGGACTATGCAGATTACTCATGAAAATAAAAAACGGTAACTAGGGCAATGCAAAGTACGAAAAGACAGGAACCGCCAGACACCCCGAATCCCATACAACTGAAGATAGTCTTGGGACAAAGATACTCCATTTCCTTTTAATTCTCTCAAACTGAGAACTCACAAGGCCCCTGTGCTAAATCTTCACAACTGTTCACTGAGAAACATAAAGCAAGGCTCGTGTTTCAATGTGCAAGGGACATTTGGAGAAAGTCCTTCATTCCTCCTTTTCCCCAAGGGTCTACTCCTCCATGCTAAATAATGGGTGTGTGGATCTGGACCTTCAAGTGTCTCGCAGCTGTGCGTTCAGCCTCTACCAGGAGGACCAGCAAGCCTGCTGCTCCCCACAGGCCCCAGCCCTGCGCTCCTAGCCCATCTGGAGGGTTCCCACATTCTCCCTGCTCATGAGTAGGGGCGGCTGGTCAGAGTGCTCATAGGAGATGCTCCCCAGACCTGGGTGCTGGACAGGTCAAGCCTGCCTCACCTCAGGCTCTGGCCACAGCTCTGTTCCTGGAGCCCACAGGCACCTTGCCGAGTGTTCTGTCTCAGGAAACCTAAGCAGCACCTCTTTCACTGACATAACCACAGAAACTCACGAGAAAGTGTGTGTTTCTTTATTAACTACTTAGCAGATAGGGCGAGCTCCAATATTCTTACATATTCTTGTAAGAATGTTGACGTCTTCACCAAACTGAAAGGTTTCTATACCACGAAGAGTTATTTCCACGTATGTAATTATCATTACTTTCATCGTTTCTATAAAATCGGGAGAAAAGAGATAAGCGACCCTTATCAGCATCAGTTCAACCTAGCCGTACCGTCTATCACCAGCTCTGACTGGGTGGGAGCTGCGTTCTCAGTAGTGTGAGCGATTCAGAGCATCCCCTGGGCCTGGCCTGGCTCCCACCAAGTAAGGAGTCAAAGCAGGTGAGAGCTGCTTCACGTGTCCTCTCCTTTCAGGCCAGGGCACCGGCATGTGCCTCTGTGCCCGAGAAGGGGGGAGGGATCAGAGCAACGTGCGCTCCTGGGACCACCCAGGACATCAGGACACAGGACGTTCCCTGCTCTTTACAGCATTACGGAGCAAAGCTGTGCTGTGGCTCCTGATTCTGAGGAAGAGGGAAGGCACTCTCCAACACAGGACAGTAACCCTGAAGGGGTAGAACCTCCTATGCTATGCCGTCCTTGCTGAGGCCTGAGTCACTGTGCATGGCCTGCTTACCTCTGATGGAATAGGTAAAGCCTGTGAAACAACATGAGATCAACAGGCCACTTACAGCGTCCACTCGGCTGTGGATCACCATAACAAGCCAGAGCATCATCAGTGGAGTCTGAAATGAAAGCAGCTCTCTCTTTCCAAACACTCTAGAGCCTGCCTATGACCCATCTGATAACATATGTAGATAAATGCAAAACAGAAGGTCAGTCAGAACAGGATCTGTAGCTGCCCTCAATTCAGAGAGATTGGGAGCCAGACACCTGTTTCCAGGAGAGGCCAACCCTCGCCCAGCCTGGAAACAGTTGGGAGGGGCCCCTGGGCAGTGGGTGGGCAGCGGGGTCAGGACTGGCACTGCCATCAGCATCAGGCCTCTGTAGTTTGAACACCTTTTCCCCACTGAAGCCTCAACATCAAACACCATCAAATGCCAGGTTCACCACCAAGTCTAAGACAACAGTAGGCAACAGGTGAAGGGGTCCAGCTCTGCTCTTCTGACACAGTGGATGCTGTAGATGAGCAGATGATGTGTCTAAGTTTTTCACCAAAGCCTTGCTGATAAGTAACAATGCTCAGGAGCCACCTCTGCTCTCTCTCCTGTCACTGACATCCGTGGGGAGAGGACACGGCATCTGTTTTCAACAGGCCGACTCAACAGGGCTGATGAAACATGCCACAGACAGCATTCTCCATTTTATTCTTACCTTTCCACTTAAAATACAGGTGAATGATTTGTTTTGCTGCATTACAGCCCTCACATTCCAGGAGACACTTAAATGATTACCTTCCAGAAGAGGATGCTGCAGTGCCGGCAAAAATGCAAGGTGTCTCCATACTGCTCCTTGGTTGGGTAATACTTCTGAAGTGTGAAATACATCAACTTCCATTCTACATGTCCTTTTTCTGAAAGAATCAAATGTCTACAAAACTAAACAAACAAAATTCTGTTCAGAATTGGCAAATGATTTCCAAAACAATATAAAGTGTAAAGCTATTTTTAAAAGGCAGCAGAGTTCACGAAACAATTATTTGAAATTAAACTTACTTGGATTACACCAATAAGGGACAAGTCAATGGTGGGATACCTGTATACTGATACCACTGCAGCTGTGCGACGGGTTTGATGACCCAGCACTGGCATGATGTCCATGATGCATAAAATAAGCAACTCATGTCATTTGTCTGATAAGGGACTTGTATGCAGAACACATAAAGAACACAACTCAATACAAAGACAGCCCCATGTAAGAATAGGCCATAGAATGAAAAAATAAAGAGGTGCCCAACCAGCCAGGGACCTAGGGCACAACACCCCTCACACCCCATGACAGCAGCAAGTGTGGGACCCTAACGCTGCTGCCGGGAGTCAAGTACGGAGACAACTAGCCGGTCCCCCAGGCCAAACACAGCCACAGCTGGCCAGCTGCTCCACTCCTGGTAACACCCTAGAGAAGGGGAGCATGTCCACAAACCTGGAGGTGAGCAACCGTAACAGCACAGGGTGGGCACACAGCCAGCGTCCCCCAGTGAGGAGTGGACAGAAACACCCGGGGTGTCCACAGAGTGGAATGTTATTTAGCCTGGAAGGACAGAAGCTCTGGTTTGTAGGACCGCATGAGCTGAGGGTAGAAGCTAGATGTCCAGAACAGGGATGTCCAGGGACAGAAAGCAGACACGGGGTGATGATGCTTGTTCCCACACTCGTGGCAGGGACAGCCACACGAAGCAACAGCATCATAAAGGAACGCTCCACTCTTCTGGTTGTGGGAAAAGAGACAAGCTCTTCCATGGTGCCCACAGAAGCCCAAGGTGCACCCGCGGCCACGGCTGGCAGAGCCTGCCCTCCTTGCTCACCACAATGCCCTCACTCTGTGCCTTGCGCCTAAGAGCAATGCTTTATGCCATACTCGAGCTGGGTCCCTGTTTCTGGGGACTCTGCAAATTATGATGGAGTCTGTGAGGAAATCTGCTTCTCATTGAGATGGAACCAGGGCAGCTCGAAAAGTAAAGGGGGGTCCTTACCTACCCGGCTGCAAACACCAGTCTCCTGGAATAAGAGCAAGCTCAGCTGCCCCTCTTCTACCAGCACGGTGCCCACCCACGCACAAGGGGAGCAGCCCACTCGCCCATGTTTTCTGACTCTGAATCCCTCGCCCACATCAGAAGCTCAAGTCAAGCCTGTTGGTCACTTGAGACAACCGGTCCAAGCTCACTTCTGTTGGTTTCGCCATGAGGATGCTTCCCACCTGCGCCCTGTTCACGCATTTCTAATATGCCTGCATGTTTTTCAGGGTCTGTTACTAAGCTACGCCTGGCCCTGAGAGCGCATGTTCCGTCCCACACCTGCACACCCCCAGTGCTCCTAGTACTTAATCGGAGTGATGTCTGATGAGCTGCACAGGGTGTCCTCTGCCCTCCCTTGGTGCAGAGTCAGCTCTGCAGAGGCTCTGAAGCAGTCCAGCAGGACTTGGCCAAGGATGGGGAAGGCCCTAGACAGGCTGCCGTGAACACACGTGTGTGCCTGGGGACTCTCCGGAGAGAGCTGTGGGGACAGGAAGCCAGGCCTCCCAGAGCTGTGAGGCTTTTCCAGGACACACAGCTTGGTAAAAGGCAGAGCTGGAGGTCAGCTCGTTAGATGAAGGGGACCCTGGGGAACTTGTCACCAACAAGTGGGACAGAGAACATGCTGCGGCTGTGCTAGTTGTTTCTGGGTGGTTTTCAGAATCACGGTTCTTTTTAAATGTGGAAAATACAGCCTGATCATCCTGATGCTCAGAGCTGGAGCCTCAGCCCTCTCTCTAGTGGCCAGGACAGACATGGCAGGGCACACGGGCCTCTGCAGCCAAGTGTGTCATGCACACACCCACCTGCTTTTCAGCAAAATGGTACTGACACAGCTTCTTCCACAGTTGCCTGTCCTCGCTGAGCACGTACAGGGTGGGTGTCACCTGGCCCAGGGTGACGACATCCCACCCGTCTGAGAAGCGATGGAGGATGTTGCTCAGCGTGTGTAATGGCAGGTCGCTGAGGGTGAGGCCATCATTCACCTGCTGGAAGGAAACATGGACAGCATCTCGTTGAGGCAGCAGCAGCTGTCGTCACACAAAAGCCCAGATGCACCCCAGTGATGCCTGAGAAGGTGGAGGCACCAGCCCTCCAAGGATGGTGGGCTGCACCACACAGCTCCCACACAGCGACCTGGGGCAGGACTGGTGCCTGAGGGACTCGCCCTGCCAGAAGGCCACACACTCCACACACCGGCTCCATGCTCATGTTCAGAGCTGAGAGTTTCACTGGCTGTTTCAGGGCACGCCCAGGAGAAGTGGGCTCCAAACAGGGGAAGCGTCAATGTGACCAGAACGTGTTTCAGAGACAGTGTCTTCAGAGGCCTCTTCAGCATTATTTTAGCTATTGTTTAAAAGTTCTGCTTTTCCATATTAAGATATGACCAGAAGCAGAACTTGTCTGTGTGTGGTGCAGCCTGATGTCTGAGGCATAGGTGTTTGGTGATATGGCTGCGTGTGACACCACACAGCAAGGTCCACTCAGTGCGTCTGCAGTGGACACTGCCGTTACCTACAGCCATCTGCCTCCATATGCTCCACTTCTGTGCTCACCCCACAAGCCCAAGGTGCCCCCTCTGGCTGCCAGCCTATGTGAGTACACACACACACACACACACACACACACACACACACACACGCGCGAAGCCATGTCCTCCCTTCATGCAGCTTGAGCACAAGCATGCTGTGCCTGCACTTGAGGGGATGCAGAAAGGCAGAGGCCGGGGGGAACGTGAAGCCCGGTGGTGGGCCAGCTCAGCTCCACTGAGGCTGATCAGTGGGGTCTGGGCTCACCCCCTGGGCTCTTGGGGCCTTGGTCCAGCTGTGTCAGTGTTCCCACACCCTCCCTGGAAGCACTTCTTCCTAGTGTCCTGAGATGGTGCCTGGGTCTGTGGCAGATGGGCAGCTTCTGGTTGTGCTTCCTGACTCTCTCATCCCCCTGGTCAGTGCACTCTACTGCGTATACTCCTGCAGAAGCGGACACTGACCATCTGGTTTTGCAGGATGAACTGACTTTGGGGTTTGGTTCAGGAAATCACTAGATTTCTGGGAGTGCAGTGTTCCTGCCACCATCCTCTGCAGGAGGACACTGTGCCCTGGCATTCTGGACAGGATCCTGTGGTCTGTTTCTGTCTTCTCAGCTGATGGGACCAGGGGTGGCGGCAGCAGCCCCACCCTGGCTGTAGTCCAAGAATGGCGAGCATCCCTTGCTACTGATGAGCCAAGTGCTTGTGGCTCAAGTGGAAGCCATTCGCGTCCCTGCTGTCCAGCGCAGGGCAGAGTCCCACAGGAGGCAGTGCGCGTCTAAGCAGATCCAAACAGTGGCACTTTCTGAGTCTGTCCTACTGCCAATGCCATGAAGATTAGGCACAAAGCCACAGAGACACTCCTGGAGCAGCGAGGTTCAGAGCCAAGGGCAGCGTAGCACCTGTTCCCAGGTCCAGCTTAAGGGCCCCACTGTACCTATAAAGACGCAGGCCATTTGCAGTGAGGCAGGGAGGCCTCCTGGACACTGCTGTGGCAGGCAGAGCCCTCTGCGGACCAGGCCAGGCTGACCAAGGAGCAACACCCTCTGGGCTGTGGGATGGGCTTGGGCTGCAGTGAATGTCACCAAGCCCACCTCGGGAAGCCCTACAGTCACAGTCCCCTTTATGTAATGGAGGACTGGCATCAACATCAGTTGGCCTGGACAGTGCCTGCCACCTCAGGGTCCTGGCCTGCTCCCACCCCACCCACAGGCAAGGCCCGGGCACCAGCGTACTGTTCTCTCCCCTCTTGCCTGCTTCAGAGCCAATAAGGCCCATTCCCTAGTACCCCATGCACCTGCAATATCAGGTCCTCAACAGCCCCTAGTGCAGTGCTGCCGGCCCCTGGGCTTGGAGACCTCTGCTGGGAAAGCCTGCAGTCCGACAACACCCGGAGCCAGTTCTGCCACATGGAGGAGTTCTACGAACCAGCTGACCTCTGGGTGGCCTGAAGCCAGCACAGTGAGAAGCCATCGAATGCTCCAGATCAGTGCCGCCCGGAGACCCCACCCAGCCCAGCCAGCACACACCGCTGGTGCTTCTATGACTGTCGCGCTCCAGACGCACCTTGCTCGTGAGACAGTGCGCTTGCTGCCAGCTCCAAAAGCACAGGCAACAAAAGCAGAAACTGGCAAATCAGAGCTGATCAGACTAAAAAGCCTCTACGCAGCAAGGGAGAGCACAACAGGGGAGCGACCCATCCCGTGAAGTAAGACATGCAGAATGGGAGAAGTGCTTGAGCTTGCGCATCCTGCAAGGAGTTAATTTTTGGAACACACAGGAAACTCCAAAAATCCAGTTAAAAATGGGCCAACTAACTGAAACAGCATGTCTCAAGAGAGGACACAGAAGTGGCACAGTTGCATGAAAACATGCAGCATCACTGATCCTCAGGAAATACCCCTCACCACAGTCCTAATGGCTGTTATTATCCAGGGAGGATGTGGAGGAAGGAGGACTCGAGACCTGGTTGACAGGAGTGCCAGTTAGTACAGCCACATGGAGAACAGTGTGTGGTCCCTCAAGCCTCAGACAGGTCTTCAGTGTGATCCAGTCACTCCACCATGGGCTACACCAGCAAAGGTACCCAAGCCCATGGGGTGGGGAAACACCTGCCCGGCACATCCTCTGCAGCATCATTTGCAATAGCTGTGATATGTATCAACCCTGGTGCCCACTGACGGATGAATAAAGAAAATGTATATACACAGTGGGACACTATTCAGCCCCAAAGATAATAGAATCCTGTCATTTGCAGCAAAATGGATGGAACTAGAACATACTATGTTAAGTGAAATAAGTCAGGCCCAGAAGGATGGAATAGGAGGTAACAGGTCCAGGTGTTGCTGAATGGGAGGGTCATGGCTCATGTTCTGTGGCACTGGAGGATAATGATGATTGACAATAACTAACTGAATATTTCAAAGCAGATAACAGAGAATTTTGACTGTTCCCAACTCAAAGAAATGGCACTGTCTGAGGTGACAGATATGCCAATCACCCTGACATGATTGTGATCATTGCACTGTACATACTAAGTGCCACTCTGTACATAAGTGCATATAGTTACTACGTGTCAATTAAACAATATTTAAAAGAAGAAAGACACTCATACCTTCGTCATCTGAAGGTTCTGTAGTTGTTGTTGCCAGTTAAGGACAGTTTCTAAACGGCAAATCCAAATGTTGATGTTGCCCACCAACACTGACTTCCCTACCCCTCTAATAAGGGTGCAGAGGGTGGAGCTCAGGTCCTGCAGGAGGTTCTTGATTAGGCGAGGGTTCTGGTGGTCACAGAGCACTGGAAAAGGAAAACAAAGTTACGGGCTGATGTAATGAACCACACTTTACACTGGTCTAGCCTCACACTCAGGTGTCTATTGACCCATCCTCATGATGGAGTATTAGCCTTAAGCAGAAGACTGAGGTGCCGCCACACGCACGAACCCAGAAGACCCTGTGTGGAGTGAATGCAAGCCTCGCAAGGACAAAGATGGTGCACTGTCGTGGGCAGGTGACAAGTCATTGCTTTGAACTATGTGAGACCCTGGACAGTGAAACACGCACTGCTCTTGGGAAATTCGGAGTGCAAGGGTGCCCGGGAGAATGCCCATTTGCAAGTTGATTCCTGTTGACAGGGGAAATTCTATGTTTGTCATGGAACTCACTAGTTCAGAAAGGCTTAATTTCGAATCACAGCTGCCCAGAGGTAGAGGAGATGGGCCTAACCTGCCAAGCCCCAAACAACTTATTTTTCCCATCTTCATCCTGTTTTCCTCAAGAAGCTGGTCACACTGACACACTTTGATGTTCCTACCTATGAAGATAAAATGCAGACTCTTGTTCTTTGTTAGATCCAGTCTCATCAGAGCTGGTCCCCATCGGATCCTGCTGTTTCACTTATTTCTGTCTTGTCTTTGTTTCTTAAATTTCTCATATCTTTAGTTTTTCTAATCTGACTCACTGCCCTACTTTGGGGAAACGGAGTAAACATCATGCAGGTTGTGACAGTGCACTTCTACTTCCATGAAGTATCAACAATCAGAATCACATCAGAACACAGGGCGTGGATGCCAGGGGCCAGAACTGGTGTTCCATGGGGGCAGAATTCAACTGGGCAGCGAAGATGTTCTTGAGATGGATGGTGGTGATGCACGCAATGCTGCCGAGCTGTACACTTAACAATGGTCAGAGTGGTAAACGTCAGGTGTATTTTACCACAATAAAAAAACAAGTGTGTAATTTTATTACAGCCTAAACTGGCTTCATTTTTGAGATATCTCAAGTATAATGAGATTTTTAAAAATTTTACATTTTATCAGCAAATCTTCAGCTGGAGCTACAATTTTGCCTTTAAAATGGTCAGTATACACTTTTTTGTACTTGTCATAAAGAGAATATTTAAATTTTATACGTGCACTAAACTAATGGTATAAAATTTAAACTTCCCTCTACTGACTGCTGCTACAATAACAAAAGCAAGCTCATTAAATTTAAAAGAATATTATTATAGAATTATTGGCTTGTGTGATTATTGGCCAGAGTGAATGAACCACCATCTTGCTGTTTGTGGAGCCACTCAGCCAAGTAAAGTGTAGCTGGCTGACCACGAGAAGGCACAGTGGCTCTGTAGAACTGGGAGACTGGTTCTCTGGTGTGCCAAGAGAGATTTCAGAAAGAAAACCGGCACCCAAAGAACTCTGGGACTTCAGGGACAACCCGCCTTCCTGTCTGACGTTGTCATGTGTCTGTATTGTTGTTTTTCACTACATAAATACTGGGGAAAGATAAAAGAAAAATCCCTTCTTGCCCTAAATTTCTAATGATTCAGATTATTGGAAACATCAGTGATTGTCTTACCCTTCTGAACAATTTTATCCAGAATGTTGAAGTAATTCTTCTGTGCAACACCACTCAACGAAGTTAACTGGGATTTTGCAATCAGCTGCAATAGCTAAGGAGAGAGGGAAAAGAAAGCTAAGCATCTTCAAATCCATGTGACATGGAACACAAGCATGGTGGCAAGGCACAGTGCAGAAGGAAGACACCTGGACCGAGGCTCCTGGCCAGCCCTGGGCAGTCTGCATCCATATAGGAAATGGCTATCACTTGTCTTACCCTGGGAACACTCCGGGAAGGCCATTGTGCAGGATGCCTTCTGCCCTCCAGGCCTGTGCGGGTGCTCAACAAGAGGCTACAGGATGGGGATGCGGGTGTGCCTGTCCTGATCAGACCCACTGTGATGCTATTTCACACCCAGACTCACGGTTGTTTGCTGACCACACAATCAGAAAGTCAACAGGCCCTTCCCTTTGGAAGCTGAGAGGCAGAAGCCATGCCATGCTCCAGCTCTTTCAGCAACACTGGCAGAACATCGAGGGCCCCACAGTAAGGACCACTTGGGATCTGCAAGGTGCAAGCCTCACTCTAGGCACGAAGAGGGCACACATCCACCTCTGCCTGCCCTCTGGCCTCACACAGCACCCGCGCCATGCTGGCATCACAAAGCTGATGTGCTTTTCTTCCATACCTCTCCTCCTGGTTGGAGCCCACCGCCCTCCCCCAAGAGTCTGCATTTTGGTGTGCTGCTCTGGCACAGCCTGGAGTCGCTCTGCTTTCTGGTTCTATCTGGAAACCTCGTGGGTTTGGCCTTATTTGAATGACATATTTTTGTTTGGTAACTTTTAAAGAAAGTCCTCATTTTCCTTTAGAACTTAAGGAAGTTTGTGTATTCATCCCAGAGGTTACTTTTGTAATTTAAGCCAGCACTGTTCTCTCACCCTCCTGAACCTCGACAGCACGTCTCAGTTCCAGTGGTTTCCAAAACCTCAGGGTAAAGCTGACATTCTCTTGCCCCTCCCCCTTGCCCTGTGGCCCTCTCCCCACCTTGTGTTGCAAGCTGCACCACCTCTTCACTGCCAGGGTCTAGGACATTCACTTCCGTCCTGCACCCTGGTCCGTGCATGTCACCTCCCGGCCACAGTTAGTGCACTGGGCCACTGCTGATGTCCACTTCTGTTGCCACTGCTTTCCTAGCCATCTCTTGATTGGTTAAAGTTAGTTTCCTCAAAAATGCTCTTGATTGCCAAGGTCTGGACTAAAAACAGGAGCTGTGACCATTTCAGACAGATCCTTCTTCACTACCTTCTAGAGGAAACTCCTGAAGCACACAACTTACGAAGACTGAATCACCAGGAAACAGAAAACCTGTACAGATCAACGGTGAGTAACAAGCCTGAGCAAGGAGTAAAATCCCTGTCCCAGAAAAGTCCAGGACTACCCAGCTCCACTGCTGAGTTCTGCCAAGCACTTGAAGAACTAATTCCACTTCTTCTCAGATTACACCAAGGAGGGGAGGAATTATTCTAATGCATTCTAGGAGGCCAGCATGGCCTGGTGCCAAAATCAGACTAGAACACAACAGAACACCACCAGCCAGCATCCTGGGGGACAAAGGCCCACAGAACTCTAGCAACCGGGGCCAGCAGCATGACAAGACGACTCGCCATGATGGTCAGGGAAGCAGTCAGGAAACATGCACACCACTCATCAAGGGCAAAATCCACAGGGTTGCTTGGACAGAGCATCTGATGGAAGCCAACATCCTTCAGGACAAAAACCATTGACACAAGAGGGACGGAAGGCACACAGCACACGCCCCCAGCCTCCAGCATCCTGGAGGGGCAGCTGAGAACTCTCTAGTCTGGATGGGACCAGATGCCCACTGTGCACTGTCAGTCAATACAATCCTGGAAATCCTAGCCAGGGCATCCCAATCGGAGCAGAGGAAGTCAAACTGTCACCGTTGGCAGATGACAAGATCTCACTGCCAAAAAACTACTAGAACTAATAATCAAATTCAGGAAGGTGCAGGATAAAAATCAGTGTACAAATGCAGCCTTTGGAGACAACACCGAAAGAAATGGAAACGATTGTGTTATGTGAAATAAGCCAGACACAGTCTCTCTCATGTGGAATCTTCAACAGCTATTCTCATAGAAGACAGTACCACAGTGTTAGCAGGAGCTTGGGAGGGTTAGCAGAGGCTTGGCTGACCTGTGCCACACTACAGCTGGACAGGAGGAGCACTGGTGTTGACAAGCATAGTAGGGTGAATGTCCTTAACAACAACACCATGGATCTCAAAACAAGCTGAGTGATCTTGAATGTACTTGCCACAAAGAAATAATGAATGTGTGAGGAAATGGACAAGCTAGTTATAAACTATGTGGCCAGAACACTGTACCTCACAAATTTGTTCAATTATCACGTGACAATTACAGTTTTCTAAATATACACGAAAACAATATTATCTGTGTTTCTATGTGGTCAGTGCTGCCTGTCTTCAGCCTCCAAACAAAATGCTGTTCAGACACACAGTCCCGAGGATCCAGCAAGGACTTCTCCGTTGCCTAATGAAGAAGGAGCAGTCTGAGGGCCCATTCTTCCCACTCTGTGAGGACTCTGGTCTGTTTTCCTGCAGCAAGTCCCTCGCTTTGCCTCAGGGCCCAGCACCTGGGTGGAGCAGCAGCCACTCACACACCTGCCACCTGCCTGGGTCTGCTCTGCCATGGGGAAGAGGCCAAGCCTTCCCTCCAGTGCTGCTCTCTGAGGATCTGTGAGGGTACCAACCACCCCTTGTGTCCTCTGCAGCTGTGCTGAGCCTCTTAGTCCTGAGACCACCATGTTGCTCCGTTCTGAGCGTCTGCGGAGCTTCCACCTCTACCCCCGGGGTTCTCCAGCCCCCAGTGCCTCTGACCCTTTTCTGCAGGCTCACCTGCCTCTCCCCTCACCTCCTTGGTTGTGCTAACATCTTTCTTCAGCTTCTGTCCTGAGCCTGCCTTTGCAGAACTGCCTCACTGCTCTGGTCCTCCAGCATGTTGAGATGTGGTTATGGCATCCACCCGGCTTCATGGATATATTTTTCTGGTGTTCATTTAGCTGCTCTTTCCATGTTTTCTTCAGAGAATGATCATGTGGTAAAAGCTATCTTCTCTTTGATGTCTGCTTCTGGGTAGGCAGAACTTCCTGGGCCCTGTTCTGCAGGGGACTCCAGGAGGAGAACTAGGGCAGCTGCCAAGCTCATCTATGTGAGGCTCTCTCCTGCGTGGCTGCACAGGTGGACAGCCCTGGAGCCATCTCTGATGTGACTGGTTGGAGAAGCCCTTCGCAGCTAGCCTCACACTAGCCTCTGCTCTTACTGTGGCAGGGTCCAGTCCCCAGGGCTCCTCATGCAGGGGGTGCTGAGTCTCTGCCACCCAAGCACATTTGCTCAGTCTGCCTATGGTATTTCTACCAGTACTGGCCGTGTGGGAGGCCTTGCGCATCTCACAAAGGCCACGAACTGCATCTGTCTATTTCTTGGAAAATGGAATTTGTCACCCCTTCCTTCTTCTTCGGGGATTTGATTTCCAGAGAGAGAGAAGAAGATACTAACTCACACAGCCCACAAATAACATTGTAAATACGGCAGTCCCGGGGTAATCTTCTGAACGAACATTCTGCAGCTTCCATGTGTTTCTATGGGAGAGCTCTGTGCTGAAATGACACAGAAGCAGAGCAGGGCTTCGACCAGAGGTCAGGTCAGCATGAGCCCAGTGAAGCTGAGAAGCCAGCGCTGAGATCCAGTCCTGTGCCTGAGCTTTCAGTATGTGCATGCTTCTGTGCACTTGCTGTGGTGTGCTGAGGATGGAGCCCAGGGCCTACACATCCTAGGCAAGCACGACACCACTGAAACACACGCCAGCCTCCTCTCTTCTCCGTTCAGAATCACACTGCAAACTAGGTCCTTGTCTATCCCTTGGCATAATCGGCACTGTAAGCCCCGGCCTCAGTTCAGAGCCAATTCAGAGACAGGATTCAGTTCTATAGGTTATTAGCTTTGCTGCTAATAAAGCAGGGTTGACAGAAGGAACTTAAGATCTGCACGACAATGGACTTCTTGTCCATTCTGAATTGTGGACTGAAGTGGAGCCTCCAACACCCAAAAGCCATCCCACACAGATTCAATCTGAGGACATGAAGGAAACAGACCAGAACACAAACTGAGGAAAGAGGAAAGAAAGTCATCATACCCTGTTTCTCACCCATAAGAACAGTGAGGGCCGCAGAAGGGAGGCCCTGCAGTATGTGGGGGTTTAAGGTCAAGATCATTTCCATCTCCTGCCTAGGATGCCTGCCTCCTTTCCAGCCAGCTCCAGGCCACCTGGCATGTGGCAGCAAGGAGGAGGGCTCTCCTATTACTCCGGATAGCCAGAGGGTGTGCGGAGCAGCACGCCAAACACCGAAACAGGGAGAATCACACTCAAACCTTCTTAACACCAAATGCCAAATATCAACAGATCAACTCCATGAGCCACCCCTTGGTGTCCTCAGTCCCCCGGGCACAGAGCGAGTTACAACTGAGCTCCAGGGGAGGAACCTGCAGGGACAGTAGCAGGTATCCCAGGATATGATGACCCCCACCTCCAACACAAATGACACTTTCCAGTACCAGGCCTGAAAAATGCTTCAGAAAGATGCCAAAGTCACTCGCACAAGGCTTAGACTGGTCACCACGGAGGACTCACTCATGGACCCACCTGGGCCAACACCAGCATCTGCAAACTAAGATGATTCTGGGCAAAGTGATAATTAAGATAAAAGGGCAAAAGACACAATTTACAAAGAAAATATAACAACCCTAAGTTTCGGTATAGCTCTAAAGCAAAATCTTTTCGCATTTTGAAAATCTGTTTAAAACAAAAATATTGTGGAAGATTTTTATTTATCTCTTAAAATTTGAGGCTAGTCTCTGTTGATCATGCAGCTCAAATTCAGTAAGGCCAAACAGAACCATGGCTTCTGACCCCTTGGGCCTGAGAGGCTGGAGGAGGGTAGCCAGCCTCAGCTCGGCCTTATTTCTAAGTTCGTCTCACAGCACAACGTGCACTGGGCGGGGCAAAGCAGCTGTGCTCCCGTTTGACTTCTGGACTCACCAGATTCCCACGTGAGCATGAACTGAGTTGCGATCTCAGAGGCATCGCTTGAGGTCCTTGACTGATGGCCTTTGATTCTCAGGATGCCTGTGAGGCAGTGGTCACCATCATCCCTGATGCATGGATAACAGAAAAAGATGCAGAGAGAAAGAACGGCCCAGAGTCAAGCTGCGATGGGTGGAGCCAGTGTAGCAGGTCGGCTTCAGGGCTCCCCACCTCCTGGCCGGCTGCCCTGGAGCTCTCCATGACCTTGCATGGCATGAAGTTTGCTCATTTGATTTTGAGGTCATTTTCACTGTCTTTAGCTCAAAATGAACAGAACCTGTGGTCCTTGGGGCTGCTGACTCTCTGAACCTGTGTGCAGTTTGTGGTTTCGAGGGTTGCTGGCCAGAGCCTCAGTAGCTACCTGCAGACCCCCACAGGCGCCCGCCTCCGACACAGTCCTCAGGTGCTCCAGCAGAGCTCCCTCCTGGACCACCCTTCATTCACTTACAATCCAGACAGGACTCGCCTTGTCCACAGACTTATGGCACTGTCAGAAAGACAGACTGTTACTTCCCCCCAAGCCAACTACCTTCTAACTTGTGTTCTGATTTTGTAAAAACATCCTTAGTTGCTGCATTAGGCGTGCTCCACAAGTCACCTTGCTGAGAGGATAAAGTTGCTGAGTTAAACAAAAGCCAGAGGGTACAGGCACTTGCAAACGGTCTCCAGGCTATTCCAATCTCAAATGGAGCTTGGGATCCACTGGAAGACAAGCTCTTGTCAGCCCTCACTTGATGAACCAAGCCCAGCCTACCCCCCTCATTGTCAATTATGCCCAGATTTTCTTGAAAGCACCAGAGCTACATGGTCAGATTCACTTCACTTGAGGTCAGACGCCCATGTTAGAAGAAAGATGCTCCTTCAAGTGAAGCTGACTTCCACAGGAGGCCCCAAGGCTGGTCTCTCACAGTCCTTCCTCCTTGACAAAACTTGTCCTTAGGAGCATTAACACATTTTGCTCATGTACTTTCATCCAGCATGTTTTGTTTTTTAATTTTTATTTTACTTTTTTTAGTTGCTGATGTACCTTTATTTTTTATTTATTTATATGTGATGCTGAGGATGGAACCCAGTGCCTCACACATGCTAGGCAAGCACTCTGCCACTGAGCTACAACCCTAGCCCCTAGCATGTTTGTTAAGGGGAAAAATTATATAATACCTGGAGTTAATCAAATAGGCTACTTTCAAGTCACAAATCAACACTTAATAAAGGTTTTCAAAATATGTAAATGCACCCTTTCCTGCATAAGAAATTCTGCTAACTTGGAAGATGGGAGGACATCCTTTTATGAAGAATTTTCTTAAAAGGAGAAATAATATGCTCCATGTTTTCTAAGAAACAAGTATTCTTGAAAAGAGAAGGTACTTGTACTTGGCAAAAAATTTTGATGATTTTAGAACGTCCTACTAGCCAGTTCATACTTTAAGCCAAACTTCAGAGAATCCTTAACAGTGGCAAAAGTCAGTGGAGTACCTTACCACAAGCCATGTGGAAGGTGACTGGTCTGCTCTTCTCCCACTCAGGAATAAGAAATGCCTACTGTGTTTGAGGACTCTGTGATATAGCAGGGCTCCGAATGCAGTATGACAACAACACATCAGCCCTTGACTTGTCCCTGTGGCGGCCCGCTGAGCAATGTCCACACAAGCGTTAAGGACGGCACCTTTCAAAGACTTATGTTGACAGACACTGTTTTCAAATGTCCTTTGATGACTGAGAAGCCACTTGCTTTCTATCACAGTTTACAGAATCATGGGAAATGAAGTGTCAACAACGTCTCCTGGTGCCAGGACAGTGAGATTTGGCTTCCGTCCTTGTCTTCTCACCCTGCGTCCTGATGGTGAAGGACCTATTACGTGCAGCCTAGTCCTTGCCCACGGCCACCTCAAGAGAAGACAGAAGACGAGGGAATAGCAGCAGCCCTTAAGGTGGGTCCCAAACTCCCACACACCATGCACGAGGAGGCTCAATCACTTTGAGGTCCCTTAGCAGAGGAGTGGAGCCGCTTCCCTGAGCGGTCCTCCACAGGTGCTCGGCCTCTGCATCCTCACCATGCACAGCCAAGGAGGCTGAGGCCACTAAGCCATCCTCCGTAGAGAGGTGAAATGTCTTTAAAACCTCATAATACCAGATGTCTTGGCCCACGGTGTCTTTCTAGGTTTCCAACCTCATTACTGAACAGAGAAACTGGGAGACAGGGACGAGATCTCAGGGCTAAAAAGACTGGGGAGTGATTCCCAGGGTTGTAAAACTCCGAATGAAGACAAGAATGACCAACTCTACCTACAGTAAGACCAAAGGGGAAAATACAATCATGCATAGCAAAGAAGGGTTAGAGGCTTGACCAAAACACACCGTCTCTGATGTCCTGCCTCATGACCCATCTGCAGGCATAGCAGGATGTGCTGGAGAAAGCCTACTTTCCCAGTAACTAAAGCTAAGGTATGGCCCCTGGGAACTCAGAGCCCAGGGTGGCAGGGATAGCCTGCGGGAGGGAGGTCCCTGACTCCTGTGTTCCTTCCTGAATATGCCTTTTTCTTCCTACAGCCAGTGGGAAGACCTTGCTGCAGTTGCAAGAAGCATCTTGGGTACTTCATATTCATCATCTTCAAAACAGGTGTGAAAGAATCATCAAAGCATTTTTTTTTTCTCTTTCTATAATACTGAGATTGAACTCAGGGCCTAGTGTACGCTAGGCAAGTGCTCTCCCACTGAGCCGCGTCCCAGACTTATCAAAGCTATTTTTGAAGTAGAAAACTTACTTTGACCACGTATGTAAACCTCCGGATATCCTGGATGGCACTGGAGAAGTCCAGACGGTTGAACGCCTCCCCTAGAGTGCAGTAGCCGTGCCTCTGAAAAGCAGGGGAGTGAGATTAGTCAGTGGTCAGCACAGTCAACAATCAATGGCTGCCAGGCCATGTGGATATGTTTTAAAGTTGATGCATAGTACATCTGCTTTCATACAGAAGATTTCTTCCATATGTATTTACAGAATCCCTCAGTGGCTTCTTTTTTAAATTTTTAAAAAATGTTATTCATTTATATGCAGTAATGAGAATCGAACCCAGTGCCTCACACTGTTAGGCAAGCGCTCTACCACTGAGCCACAATCCCAGCCCCTTGCTGTCTTCTTTTGCTATGGACAGGTAGGGCAGATACAAATAGACCCAAGGGTGCTGGCATTGCACATGCTAGAGAAGGATTTCCCTGCAGGGAGGTCTGTACTGCCCAGGGCTGGGAGTGTGCTATGGTTAAGGTGGGTCCCAAACTCCTACACACCATGCACAAGAAGGCTCGATCACAAGGTGCAAGGCTCAGAGGGCCCCCTGGCTGTGGGTGAGAGGTCTGAAGGCACGTGGTGGATCTGAGGATGGCAAGTTTCCAAGATAGGGGTATTGGTGCCCAGCACCCAAAACAAAAAAGCTGGTAATGAGATCAAAGGTCTAACTGAAGCTGAAGAGTACTATCCTACCCTGCAGACCTCCCTTAATGGAGCACCTTGTACTCCCCAGTCTGCAGAACTCACTTGAGGCTCAGCAGTGCTTCTGAACTCCACCTTTATGTTTCAAATACCTAATGTCTATAAGTAGGGTTTTAATTTAGAGTTGTGGGGACATGTAAACTGGAGGACAATGACAGGAACTATAAGAAGTGACAGATGACTCCCCAGATTCCAAACAGGCCAGTGGGGCTGGACTGGGGGAAGCTGGGGTAGCAGAATGTCTGTTGGTCTCAGATATGGCCTTGGAGGCACTCCTGGTTTTGTGTCCAAGCCAAGGATAGTCCTAATGTGTGCAGAAAGCAACCCCACGCTTATCTGGAACAGTCAACATACATGTCCACTGAGCATCTCTTGTGCAGAATGCTTTCCTAGCGCATTTCCATTTTATGGTGAAGCAAAGAATAAACAGATACAGACTGCAACCTAATACATCAGATACATCCCAGCTTAGTCTTAATTTCTTCTTTTTTGAATGAATGAAATTCTAAATGTTGGTACAGACACCTCTTCCAGACAGCTATCATCTCACAACAGGAATGGGTCTGGTTCAGAGTGAACCACACAAGTGTGCTTGCCTTTGCAGGCCATGTGGGTGTATACCAGGTATAAGCAGGAAGGTGTGTGTGCGTGTGGGGGGTGAGGACCCATTAGTTCCCAGTGCCAGTCCTGGGCAGTCCCAAGCTCATTAGACACTAACCAAGGACTCCTGGACATCCCTGTTGCCTGAAGACAAATTCCAGTTGCGACCTGTGCAGTAACGCAGAGAAGGTGAAATACTGAATAGTCTTTTACAAGCTCCATACCTTGTTTTGTACAAAGTAGGTTAGATTCTGTCAATCTTCCCATGGCGTCCCAGAGTACGTGTTAAGAACTAGAGTCATGTTATACCCATTTAACAATACTAACCACCACCAAATAGGTCAATAGTTTTCTTTCTCAGAATCTAATCCCCAAGTTTCTAGGCTGCTGGGCTAGTTTAAAGATATCCACTGTTAACACTTCCAGGACACTTAACTTATCCTAACTTTTACTATGTAGTAAATAATTCCTCCCTGAATTACTTTCCCCAGCTGCTGTGAATGGAAGCAAATGCAAAGTTTTGAGAGGGGTAAACAAGGGCCAGGCTTCCTTGGCACTAAGGAGAGAGAAAGGAAACAGCTGGAAGCTAATGAGGGCTTGATGGCTCTTAAGGAAGCTTTGCTGACCTGGAAATCAAAGGCTGGCAAGCACTCCAACTGCTCTGCTGCTCCAACCGAGAGCAATTCCATAGGAGTCCGTCTCCACACAAAATGAGGGGCTCAGTGGTCACCCTCACTCCACCACACACACATCAGAGCAAGGAGCATCCTTACCTGTAGCCATGGCTCCCACCAACAGAATATACCTCACAACCTGGTCTGAAATAACCAGTGTGGGTTCAGAGATGTACAGGGGATCAGGCAGTGTGTGCGTAGACACACACACACCACACATGCACATGTAACAAATATGCAGAGCAAATACCACAAATACCATACATATGCACACACCATACATCACATACACACACACACACACACACACACACACCCCACATCCCATACATCAGATGCATGACAAAACATACACAACACACAATGCATATATGCACACACAAACACACACATTCAGGTAGAATATGCACTACAAACACATCCACACATGTGCACATGCACACATTCACAACCCACAGTCATACCTATGCATACGCACACAACTGTGAATCATCGCTTCAAACGCTACTCACATATACACACCTATCAGAATGTGAATCACAAACCTGATATTCAAAAACAATAACTTCTTTAAGGTGACATTACATATTCAACAGGGGCTATGCGGGATAGGCTCCTATTTATAATAAAAAATACTTACTTCTTTTGTGCTTTCTTTATGGACATAGATCCATTTTTCACGATAAAAACCTGAAATAAAAATTAACTTTGTTTTTAAAATATGGCAAGTTATTTCAAGATGAAGATCTTAAAGGAACCTCAACAGTGGACATGCTAACTAAGTTACTGGATGCATTATATGAACAAAGATGCTTTACGTGGGGCAAGGGAAACTGAAATGCCTTGTTCCCTGATGGGCTGAGGATGCTGAGATACCGCAGTGGAAATGACATCAGATGACCCTCATCTTAGCAGCTGAAGAGAAAACTAGTGCTAGTGATGGCTGCAGTGACATCAAAACGTAAATGACTAGGAACTACACATTCAAACATCCTTCTGCACCTGGATGCCTCTGGTGTTCCACAAACAAAAGCCTCTCCCCTGACCGCCTTCTTCACACCTGGAAGGTGTCAGAGACTACTCTGGATGCTGTCAGGAGAGCTTCTGCCCCACCTTCCTGTGCCCTTCTACCTGTGCAGCATCCCATGTCCCAAACTCCAGCTCCTCCCACTTCTAGTCCCGCCCTTCTCTGTCGGCTTCCCTGCTCAGGAATGAACTGAACTGTGACCACCCTCAGCATGTGGGGCAGCGTTGTGGGTTTTGCCATCTTCTGTTTGTATGAATCTTAAAATTCAAACGACTGAAATATAAAACGTCTGATCACTAACTCAGCAGGCAACACTGGACAGAGTGCTTGCTGACATACCCATAGCACTGCTTATTTTTAAAAGGTAGCACAGCCACAGCAATCAGGCATATCAACATACTCAACAAGTAGAACATCGTAGTATTGAGGAAAATGATCTTACTTTGAGTATTTGTGTCATTTCTGAAATGGTCCTTTTTCCTTTTTTTGGACGCATATTCACATTCTTCATTATTGAATATCTCTTCATCTTCACTATTTAACATACTGAAATAAAGATACGTTTTTTTTAAAAGAGAGAGAGAGATAGAGAGAGAAAATTTTTTAATATTTATTTTTTAGTTTTCGGGGAACACAACATCGTTATTTTTTTAATTTTTATGTGGTGCTAAGGATCGAACCCAGTGCCCCGCGCATGCCAGGCGAGCGCGTTTCCGCTTGAGCCACATCCCCAGCCCCTAAAGATACATTTTATTAAAATATTTTCCCAGAGAGACCTCTACTTGGCTTTTTTTATAAAGCACATAATAAATATCTGATTTGTAATTCAGAGACCAAAATAAAAATCATGTTAAATCAGAGATAAATCATGAGCTTCAATGTACAAGGGTAAGGTCTAATATTCTGTTTTCACTTTGAGAAATCAGGGATGTGCCCGGGTTCTTTCGAGAATGTTACATGCATTAGAATCTCCCAAGGGTTCTGAGACGTTCAGTCAAGGCAGTTTGAGACATCAAAATGCTCTATCAAAACAGAGACCAGACACAAAACCATGACTTTTGTGGCCATGTAGTGCCTGATCTGCTGACCACAGATGTGTCAGCTGCACCCTGACACATCTAGCAATGTCAGCATCCCTGCCGTCCCTCATCTTAAAGACATAACTGAGGCTAATCAGCCTGTGGAACATTTGCTTGATAAGCACCAACCAAACCAGAAGAAACAGACATTTTAACCACTAAAATATTCTGAAATTTTCTAATACTTCTCCTTTTTTATGAAATAAGGAAATAAAACCACAAGGCAATAAATAACTAAGCAATGTGAACACCTTTTCTTTAGAAAGTTTCTCCACTGTAGTGAGAAAAAAACACAAACTGCAATCCACATCATCAGCACTAAGGATGCTTGAGATTTTTATTTTCAACACACTGAGCACCGAGGCTATTCTTGGCCTAGAAGTGTAGAGGATGCACTGTGGGGACGAGCTGGCAGGTGGAGGCTAGGGAAGCACTCAGAGCCAACCCAACATTGCCTACTTGCCCTCTGGTGTTCCCCGAGGAGAGAACTGTGAAGTCCCTTTCACTCACCAGTGTTGGCTTTAGATGCAAATAGCCGAGCCGGCCACCTGAATCTGCTCACCACTGTCAGCACAGGCAGCCCTGGGCAGAGTGCGCTCAGTGCGCCTGCCCGCTGCCTCCCCTGCACCTCATCCTACGCTAGCTTGTGTCACTGATTCAAACACTGAATGGAGACAATTTTGAACCACAAAAAGGTTTTCCAGCTAAAGTCACAAACACACCAGAGGAAAAGCAGAAATTCACTGCTCTCCAGAAATAGTGCCATAAAAACAGGCAGGAGGCAGCAAAGGGTGGCTGACCAGGCCTCCCGCCAGGGGAGGCACACCTCGTACCCCCAGCACAGGGCAGCACAAATCCTACAGCCAGATTTACCCTGCCCACAGGTGGGAGGCCACTTCCCCAGAGGAAAAAAATCCATCTTGTTCCTGGCTGCCTGCAGTGATCTGCCTTCCATCAGCCTGGGGCTACACCTGCTGGTCCCCGCTGCCACACTAGTGGACCCTGCAGGGGCACTTCCTTGGCACTGTGGGCATGGCAGGGCTCAGAGGACTTTGGGGTTAGGCCCAGAGCCCCACAGTAATATCCAAGAGAAGTAGCTAGTCTGGAGAAAGTACTCTTAGCTTCTATATTTATAAAGTATTGAAAACAAGGGGTAAAAGGCCATGATTTTGGGGAGTGGGTGTTGTACTGTCAGGTAAACTAAAATGTAAAAGTGGGAAAGAAATATGATGCCTCTAAAATTAACCTACAATTGTATAAATACTAGTAGGGCAGTATTTAATGTTGCACAGGTCGTTCACTTTGCATGCACATAGCAAACACTTCCTCTTCTTACGGCCTTTAGCTTTATGAGCAATAAATATCACCTACCCTGGCTTAAAAAACCAAGGAAGCTTCAACAAACAAAACCCAACAACTCAATTAAAAAATAGGAAAAGGACTTCAATAGATATTTTTCTAAAGAAGAAATATGAATGGCCAATAAACACATGAAAAAATGTTCAGCATCACAATTAGATATTACCTTACATCCATCAGAAGGGCTACTGTCCAAAAACAGAAAGTAATTGTTGGCAAGAATGTGGAGAGATTGAAATTCTTGTGCACTGTTGGCAGGAATGTCAAATGGTGCAGCCGCCATGGAAAACAGAACAGCAGATTTACCACAAGGCCCAGCAAGTCCCTTCATGGTGGGTGACATTTCATCTGCACGTATCTGCACTCCTTCACTTACAGCAGCAGGATCACAACATCCAAGCCTGGAAGCAATCCACATGCCCACTGACAGACACTGAATAAACAAAAGATGGCAAGTCCACACAGTGGACTGTGACTCAGCCGTAAAAAGTGACAGAGGGCTGGGGATGTGGCTCAGTGGTTAAGTACCAAAAAAAGGGGATGCTGACATGCTACAACTATGCTGGGCTGACAAGCCAGTACAGGACAGACGCCATCTGTTTCCACCTCACGAGGCAGAGGGTAGGATGGGGCACTGAGAGCTGAAGGAGGGACAGGAGTTGGTGTTTAGTGGGCACAGGGTATCAGTTTGGGGAGATGAAGGGCTCTGGAGGTGGAGGTGTAACAGGAGCGGGCTGTCCTTGTGCCATGCCCCTGAACTGAATGCCTAGACGTGGCTGAGGGGTAAACGATAGGTAGTGTGTACCTTGCCACATCGGAGGGGGCAGCATGCTTGACTTGTCCTGTCCAGATCGTCCAGGGTGTGTGCTGGGCAGGAGGAAGGGCTGATCCATGGGACCTCACGCAATATCATGAGCGGACAACACAGGTTCACACACTTGCAAGAACCCCAGGACAGTTGCACGTTCATCTGCATGCCTGAGCTGGCAGCTTCCCCTCCTGCACCCACAGGCCCTCACCTTCTCCTTAGGAGCACACTCAAGAGCAACAATACTTCAGGGTTGTTCTATAAACCATGGGGCACACCTTTCCCCAGTGCAGACGAATCAACAGACGGCTCCCAAGGGAAGCACAGAGCTCAGCACTCAGCAGCTCGTTCCTGTAGCCCACTTCCAGGAGTAAGCAGTGCTTCACTGCACCCCATGTGACCTGACATTTCCCTCGGCTACAGTGTTCCAACGGTGACATTTCAGGAAGCATGCGTTTTCTCAGATGACATTTCCTGAAAAGGTGGTAACAGGTCTTTGGCTTCAAGGCCATTCTGTGACATGCGGCTTGGGCCATCTCTCCAAACTGCCTTCACTCTCTACCTGAGTAGAAGATGACAGGAGGGGGAACCTCCGATTTCTACAGCACCCAGTTAAGTGCAGCAGTTCTCAACTCCTTGTGGTAAGTAAGATACATTACAAACACCTGAGATCTCAGCAGCTCAGGAGGCTAAGGCAGGAGGACCGCAAGTACGAGCCCAACCCCAGCAATTCAGCAAGGCCCTAAGCAAATCAGCAAGACCCTATCTCAAAATAAAAAATAAAAAGGGCTGAGGATGTGGCTCAGTGTATGCCTCCAGGTTCAATCTTCAATACCAAATTAAAAAAATATATATATATGTAAAAAATAAAAAAATATATATAAAAAATAAAACTTCTGCTGCTATTAAAAAACATTACCAAGATTAACATTCTTGCAAACAATGCAAGAGTATGAAATGAAAAGAATCCCTGGCTAAACTCACCTCTGAATTAGCTGAACTTTTAAATTTCTCTTTTTTCTTGAGCTGTCCATAGAAGGTAGCTTGCTGTGGGTGGGCAGTTCACCCTCCACAGAAGCCAGCTCTCTCCCTCTGCTCCTCTGCCCACCGGCTCTGAACATCCCAGTGTGCCCCAGACGGGACAGGGTCTGTGTGAGTCTGGTGGCACTAACAGTCCTGTGGTGACTACTACTGGATCCGGGTGCTGCTGACCTCGTGCCTCCTACACTGTGAACACCCCCACTCCTGGGGCCTGGCCTGACCCTGCCCACGGGGCCTACTGCTTCCTGTGTCTCAGACCCTTTCAGGGAGAGTAGCCCCCATTTCTCAAGAACAGTAGATACTTCCTACCAGAAACAGAGCCTGGGGCCCAGATGAGGGTGTCAGAGGGCTGCTTCCCTGTGTCCTCCCTCCCCAGTTTTCAGGCAAGCCGTCTCCCGTGTCCCCACAGTGCTCTTCCTCTTCTGCTTCCTACAAGGACAGTCCCACAGGATCAGGATGCACACTCACAAACTCACCTCCTCGACGGCCCCTAAATATAGCTGGGGGTTGGGGGTGCTGTGACATTTGGAACATGTTCTGTCCGCAGTGCACAAGAAAGTCATCTTTTTACCCTCCTAGGGTTTGACACAGAGGGGAGACTTCTTGAAGCCAGAATCTTATAAACTGATTGTAATAGTTTGGATGATGACTCCTCCAAAGACATCTAAGTCCTAACCTGTGTGACTCTACTTAGAAAATAGACCTTTGCAGGGAAGGACATTGAGACGAGGCTATCTTGGCCTGGCCAAGCACTGGTATGTTCTTGAGCAGAGAAGAGCTGCACAGGGAGAGGCATGTGTCAGCCAAGGTGGGGAATGGGGTGGTGTTTCCACCAGCCAAGACAAAGGAGGTGTGGGTGGTGCTCTCCAGAGCCTAAGAGGACCAGCTCTGCCTGGCCCCTGATTTTGGACTTCGGGCTCTGAACCTGTGAGCACATGTAATCTCTGTTATTTCAAGCCACTGGGCTGAAGTCACGGGCCCTGGAAAACTCTCAGGTTGACTCTGATCTTGAAAGTGTGCCTGTGCCAGACACCTGCCACCCACAGGGGGAGACCAAGCAATAAGCAGCCGCCTATGATATTTTCTTTGAAGGCAAAGACTCACATTATTCATTTTCCTAATATAATGCTATTTTCTTGCCATCGTATCCGTAAAAAGATATTCTAAAGGCTGGGGCGGTGGCTCAGCAGTAGTGCACTTGTCTGGCATATGTGAGGCACTGGGTTCGATTCTCAGCAGCACATATAAATAAATAAAATGAAGGTCTATCAACAACTAAAAAAATATTAAAAAAAGATATTCCAAAAGAAAAAGTCCAATTTTCTATAAGTTCAAAAGAAAGAGCGAAGCGAAACCTATTTTTTAGATTCATACTTCTTTTCTCACATGCAGTCTTAGGAATCTAATGGTAATTGTTATGTGGCAGGAAGGCGAAACAGCCAGGGTGCATGGAATAGAGGTAAGGGGCCAGGAGCAGATTCAGGACCCGACACACTCACTGTACTGCACACCAGATCATCAGCTGGAGGAGAACACTGTGAGCTTCCAAGGGGACTCTCTGCCTTGACATCAGAGGAGGAAGCCATTAAAGCATCACATATGTACAGGGCAGGCAGTGCGGCCCTCACTCCCGACTTCCCATGAGGTGCCTGACCTTGCTCCCTGGACCATCTCACCTGCATGGACAGAAGCTCCCCAGATCACAGCGGCGTGTCACCATTGCTGCGGGGTCTATAAACTTCTCCCCACCCGAGCATGTATGTCCATGGAAACGGGGATGAGCAAACTGAACTAGTTGGCAGTTTTGTAGGTTCACAGGCCTTGGACCGAGCAGGCTCAGTAATGTAGATAAGATATCCAAGGGAAACATGGGAGCCAAAGATTTAAAATCTGAATCAAAAACTGTCCAGGGTACAGGCCAGGCTTTCCTGAACATGCAAACAAGCAGTACTGTGACAGGAGCAAGGGGACTACTGAAGACAGGCTCGGAGGCCAAGCTGATAGGCAGAGGCTGTGGCTTAGCTGCAGACAACAGAACCTGGTGGTGACAAAGGTGTAACAGGCAGTGGCTCTGCTCAGATAAGCAACAGACAGACAAACAACCCAGTGGTGTGGGGGGATGTGTCAGATGCCAACCAGGCACAAAGGGGACAAGGCCACTTTGGAAAAGATGTGGGGAGAGGGGGCTATCAGATGACTGCAATACCATGGTCTGTCAGCAGCCAAGAGGAGGTTCCAAAACCAAGGAACTAAGGGCATGACATATGGACATCAGCACAAACATTAGAAGAACAGCCACCCTAACTGCCAAAACAGCAAAAGCAAATACTTAGAACACAGTGTGATAGGCAGCCTCCAGTTACTTGTGATGTTAAAAAATATACATACAAAGAGAGATGCAGACGTAGATGCATGCTGCACACTGAGATGTAGACACAGGTATGCAGACACACGAACATGTTACGTACACATACACAGATATACATACACATTATGCACAGAGATACAGGCATAGATACATGTTACAGGTGGAAAGATGCAGACAGATAAACCCAGAGATGCAGGGGTGGGCACATTTCATGCAGAGATATGCAGGCTTGGGCAACATTATGTGCAGAAAGATGTAGACATAGGCACATGTTATGTGCAGAGAGAGACATGCAGATGTGGGCATGTGTAACACACAAAAAGCATTAACCTGAGAGACCAGAGGCCAAACAGAGCAGGGTGTTCAACAGCTCCTCCCACCTGTCATAAGGAAAAGAGCTTAAGACTGGCTCACAAAGCAAACTCAAACATCACAACTGAAAGTAAAATTCAGCTACAACAGGTTGGGGAAGGCTAGGGCTGCAGCTCAGTTGGTAAAGCACTTACCCTGCCTGTGTGAGGCACTGGGTTCGATCCTCAGCACCACATAAAGCAATAAAATAAAGATATTATATCCATCTATTATTAAAAAAAATAAAAAAAAAAAACGTTTGGGGAAATGCATATGGACCTAAGAAAAACAGCGAGCACAGAAAACTGTATAGCACCAAATGTCTATATAAAATTTAAATAATGAGAATAAATTATTGAAACATATAATTTAAAAACTCGTGAATGTTAATGAAAAGAAGGGAAGGAATTATTAAAGATAAAAGCAGATTTAAAATAAGACTAGGGGCTGGGGTTGTGGCTCAGAGGTAGAGCGCTTGCCTAGCACAAATGAGGCACTAGATTCGATCCTCAACACCATGTAAATGTACAATAAAGATATTGTGTCCACCTAAAAACTAAAAAAAGTAAATTTAAAAAAAAAGAAAAAAAGTTTTTTTAAAAAAGACTAGAAATAAAAAAGCAATCTAAAAACGATTTCTCTGCAGAAAACAGTCAAGAAGAACAAAAACTAGATATGTTAGGGAAAAAAATAAAGTACAGACACATGAAAGCATCAACGATGAGAGGAAAATCACAAATGCTAACTGATAAACTTATTAAGTAAATAAGCTAGAAGTAGATGAAGTATTATTCAAGAAAACATATGTGTATAAATTTAATGCTATTCCAATAAGATGGCTATTTTTTCTTAGAGTTAGACAAATTGACCGTGGAGCTCATTCCCAGAGCACTCTGGCCACCCCAGGTCTAAACTGCCAGGAGTTTCTCCAGGGTTCCGGCAATGCAGAGAAGCGATGGAGGGGCAGTCTGTCAGAACAGAGACCAGGCAGTTCCAGCCACACACGGAAATTTGACAGAGGACAATGGAGACCTTCCACACTGCAGAAAAGAGACGGGAGCCAGTAGGTATAACAGCTAGATGCTACCTGTTCCTCCTCACACCAGGACAAAGCCCAAAGGGAGTAGAAGCACAATTCACACACAGCGGGATGAGAGAGTTTTTAGTAGGGCTCAGGGAATCTACCCTATCATGAACCTCATGTTTCTGCCTCCTACTCCTAAACAGCCCCTCCCCAGATTCTGAGGGTACTCAGGCCCCTGGGTACCTACTGTCACACAGCCATGGAGCCAGGACCAAAGGCAGGAAATGCCACCAACTCAGCTGTGGCATTACCTGCTGGTCTCCCATCAGTCCCTGGGCTGGAGTCCCCAGGACCTACACTGACTCTGGATGACCCAACCCTGTGCCCATGACAATTTCAGTATGGTCAGCTACTCTGCAGAGTTTATCAGCCTGGCTGGTGTTCTTTCCTGGGAAGGCTTAGAGCTTCCATCTCTGGGAAGAATGGCACAGGGGATTGGTGGTTCCCAGCCACATGTGTGCTGCCAGCCCTGGAAGTTGGCGAGATGGCACTGCCATATAGAGCTGTCGACTGCTCCTTGGGATGAAAGGTGCCCTGGGGGACTGCTGACAGATGTGTTGCTCTAGCCTTTCACCTACCTTCTGGGCACCTGGGAAGGCTGGGTGGCAACAGCCATGCTTTCCTCATGGTCACTTTTACATCCTTCTTCCTCTGAAGTCTTCTATAAGAGAATTCTCCCTCATCCCTCATTTATTCATGTATTCAGTTATCAACACAAACTCAGGAATATTCACTTTCTCTTATGGCTATAATTCATTACTATAAGGTCTATTTTACTTATTTTTATTTTTTAAAGAATGAATATTCTTATTTCCTTTATGGATGTCCTGGATTTTATGCAATTTACCAAACGATTTGCTTTTGGGGCTCCACTTTTAATTGATTTTAAAAAATAAATGACAGCAGAATGCATTACAAT